AGGTTGGAGATGCCATCCGCGCCCGGAGCCTTTTTGGGCTTAAATCCTTTGATGAGGGATGAAATCTCATCATTGGACACAGTGATAGGGTCAGAGGCTGTGGGGGGGGGGGGGAGTTCCGGCGGCGGACCTCATCCTCCACTGTCTGGATGTGTGAGAGGTCTATGGGTTGAGAGCTAGGAGAGCATTGTGTGGCAATGCTGTCTGCAAAGCACTCAGCTTTTTCCTCGTCCTCGAAGGCAACCGTACCGTCGGGACGGGAGAGAGGGGGAGTGTGGGTAATAGCATCTATGCTCATGCCATCTGATAGTACGCTGTATGAGAGGGAGAGATATTCTCCATGAGCTTACTCTTAGGTCTCGAAGTTCAAAGAGGCGGAAACGGGCTTCTCGTTGTAGACGATTGGCCGTGCGCCTATATTCGAGGGTGGGATAGATTGCTGCTCTCCGGAAAGTAGCTCTCTTGGCTTTCAATAGGTCGCTATTATGAGGGTGGAGAGTGAATCGACCGCGGTATTGATTTTTTCGGGACTGTCGAAGTCCGTCGAGAGGGAGATGGGGGAGTCCTGTGAGTCCATAGCTTTAGCTAGGGACTCCTTGAAGCCCTTCCAATTAGTGAAGGTTTTCGTGGAGGGTGTTGGAGGAGGTCGCTGATGGCCAAGAATGAGGGAGACCGGTCGGTGGTCGGATCCTAGATCGTCTAGTGTCCCGATTGCTCTGAGGTTGAGGGAAACTCCTTTGACTAACGCAAAGTCTAGCACATCGGGAGCGTGGTCGGTGTTATCGGGATAGTGAGTGACACCGAGGGGACTGTGGACGGTAAGATCAAGAGACTGCGTCATATCAAGCAGTTTTTTGCCACTCTGAGAGGTAGTACGGCAGGTCCATTCAGTATGCTTGGAGTTAAAATCTTCAAACATAATGACTGAATTGCCTAGAGATAAGATAGCCTCTAAATCTTTTTTGAGGGGGAGGGTTCCACTGGTGATGTAATAGGAGGTTATGATGATGGACTGATGTCCAGTCATTGCTAGTCTGCATACCGTGGCTTCCATGTTGGTAAGCTGCGGAGTAGAAATGTGAGAACAATGAAGTGTTTTCTTGTAATAAATGGCCGTACCGCCGCCTTGGTGGTCGGGTCTGTCATTACGAAGAAGAGAAAATTTTTGAATAGAGAGGCCTTTAATGTCCTTAATTTTGAGATTAGTTTCCTGTAGGAGGAGGAGGTCGGCTTCGCGATCTCGAAGAAATAGCTCTGGGAGGTTATTTCGCAACCCGCGAATGTTAAAAGATACAAGCGGTAAACCCTTAGGCTTGATACGACCGTGAGACTTTGGGAGAGCAGAGTGCTCCTCCATTATATAATGCAACTTTTAATTTATTTAATTTAATTTAACTTAAATTAAATAAATTAAAAGTTACGCACAAAAGATTGTGATGCTCTGCAAGAGCGAAGAGACGGTCCAGAGGGGACTGAGCAGTGCGCAATTTGCGTACTAAGACAGCAATCTCCCCAATTTCGATGTTCCTAATAGCTGAATAAACCATATTTAGGTCATCAACCATTGAGGATTGTGCTTTCTGAGGGGCGAAGGATGTCCGCGGAGGGTCGGCCTTCTTGGGGCCCCAGGGGAAGATTGGAGGCTGGAAGGCTGGGAGAAGCCCGGAGGGGGCAAAGAGGGCTCTGAGGGGGCCTTGGGGGACCCTGAGAGGGTCGAGATGGGCCCTCAAGGGGCTGAGAGAGGCCCTGGCGGGGCATTCTTGAGTAGAGGACCGGGAATGATCTATCATTGATCGGCGGTGGAGCTTGTCTGCTGGGACGAGGATGAGGTGCGCAAGGCCGGCCTCTATAGTTCACCGGGTGGCCTGATTGCTGGCACAGGACGCACGCGGGGGGGGGGGAGGGGATTCGGCGTTTTGGGGCCGAGGACATTCTTTCGAGCTGTGTGGGTCTAGGCACTTAACGCACCTGGGTGGGGCAGAGCAGTTGGCCGCTGCATGACCAGAAAGTTGGCAGCAGTGGCACTGCGCCGGGAAACTGCGCCTATGTGGGGGCTCATCCATCACTCTCGAGAGGCCTCACACTGTGCGTACCTGCCGGAAAATGGCTTTTGCGTCCGGCACGTTAGTTAGAATTACAAGGGCAAGCGGATACCTCTTGCCTTTGTTACTATACATTTTGTACACGGCCTCAACAGGGAATCCTTGGGACTTAAGGTCAAATGGGACACCGCGGATTACTGCCCTGACTTTACGCTCTTCCGGTAGAGCGTACGTGTGGTAGGACACACGCTCGGCTGTGATAAGCCTTGTAAGGCGGCAATAGTCGTCGATCAACTGAGGGACTATTTTAATGGCTTCACCCGTGTTGGTGGTCTGGTCGTACTTAATACCTGTGTGGTAATAGGTTTTCGAAATACGGGTAAAACTGGCCTTGTCTCTTAAGAAGACAGGGGGCGGGACCTGCTTTTTAGCCAGGGTAGGAGCGCAGCGAGACGCTGGCTTGGACGGTGGGGGGATGTCTAGCGACATTAGTGGGACCGAAGCAGCGGCGGAGGCTGCGGGAGCAGAAACGGCAGCAGAAGCTGCGGGGGTTGAGGCAGCAGCGGGGGTTGCGGGGGTTGAGGGAGCAACAGGGGCCACTGAAACGGGGGGGGGGGGGGTGCGGATTTTCGCGGCGCGTTTACCGCCGTACTTGGAAGTCACTGTGGTGAACACAGATTCTCCGGTTTCGTTGGAGTCTGAAATCTCCGATGAACCGGTGCCGGACTTGGCTTCGGTGGCGGGCCTCTTCCGTGAGGTCGACGCCGTGGACCCAGCTTCGGAGCAGGAGCACTCCATGTCCAGGGACGCAAAAGATTTTGGCTATGGGACAGCCGATTTGGTCGCCAGATAGGACGCGACGGAGGGCGGTGGGTGGCATGCCTGAGGGGCAACTGAAGCTTGGACTGCGGCGATGACCATCTCATCAAGATTAATGCCCAGACCAAGGGAGTGGTTCAGGGCAACAACGATTGACCTAATGATGTCTCTGGTGGACATGTTGGGGGATGGGGACGACGTTTTCTTGAAAAAGTAAGGGCGGGATCACTGTTCTCAAAAGAACAGAGAAGTTTTACTCTAAGCAGTAAGGGAGGGGATCCGGACAGAACAAGACCCTGTTCTTTTGAGAACAGGGCTTGTTCTGAAAAGAACAAGTGTCGTATTCCGAGAAACAATATATACGGTATAATAATAAATCAATAACAAAGAAAAAATTAACAAATTAATTAACAAGAAAAATAACAGAAAATTAACAAAGCAAAACAATGATCAGTCAAACCTCCCTACCAGTAGGCAGAGGGGCAGGAACTGAGAGTTAGCAGTGAAACACTCACCAAAGCGTCAGCGCTGCACAGCGTGAGTAGGATAACTGAGGCACGAGAGCGAGAGGGTACTAACGTACGGGAACGATAGCGCGGTCAACTTGGGCACGTCCGCTCAAGAGCGGCGGCGCAAGCGGAATGATGATTTTTGCGCTATGTATAAGTAAATTAACAGCCTATATACATAATGTCCTTCAAATTTCATCCAAGGCGGCAAGTATCAACAGAGACAAGTCATCTATGCAGGACAGGAGTGTAGTGGATGGGTGTGTACGCAAGCACGGTACTTTCTATTCTTTCATATTTTATTTATTGCCTTATATACCGATGGGACGGCAATCCGATACGACAGGATAGAGATCTGACACAAGGCTAACAGTGTTTTCCGAGGCCCAGTGACGAAAAACCGCCAACTTTCTGAATCCAGGCTGCTACCGAGATTTTCCTGCCAGAAAAACCCTATATCAGATTTTGGCTCAACCCAGGATCCTAAACTCGGGCCCACATGATTAGCTGTTGCACTTACGACTACTAGACTTCATAGCCTAGATAGACTTTACATGTCCTCGAAACATGACATTCCTCAAACATGCAGGTTGTTTTACAATAATTACTTTCACCGCTGAAAACGTGGCAAATTAGTGCCTAAAATTGCAAAATAATTTCTTTGGGGCCAGTGAGAATCAAACAAGCTTTTATATTTAAAGAAAAAGGGTGATAAACGAACGTGATCCATAAACATCTCCATTTATCCTCGATTAAGAATAAAAGCGCAGATGCGTTATTAACACTGAGGATTAAGATGCTTCGTTTCCAGTAAAAAGGGTATCCGGTTCTCTACACTCACCATACGAAACACAGCAGCATTAGGCCGCCATTTCACGCTGGTATTCCGTGAAAACTTGGTCCCTCCCCGGTCGAGTCAACCCTTTCGTGCCACAACCATAATATAGCTACAACGTGGCTCTACCGTGTAAAGCAATGCACTTGAAACATAACTTTCCTAAAACATGCAGGTTTATTCTCAACATTTTCTTTCACCGCTGAAAACGTGGCAAATCAGTACCTAAACTGCAAACAATATTATTTTTGTCGACGGGAATTGACCCAACTCTCGACTGACTCTGGACTAAGAGGTTTTTTTTTATGTAAGAGGAGGCGCAATCAAGCATGCGGCTCACCTGATGGTAAGAGACTACCGTTGCCTATGAACAACTGCAATATCAGAGGAACCGCTGGTTGCTAGCGTACTGTAAAATTTATTTCGAAGACTGGTAGAGCCATGCTGCACCTATATTAGTAGTGTAATGTCTGCTATCTTCTCTAACCACTGTAGTGTAACACAGGCTCGGCACGCACTTTAACTAACAACACGTCCACTCTGGCCTGAGGCTCTCGTGTAACTGACGCGGTGCGCTCGAGACAGTGACTTATATATAAATGTATGTTTGTGTATTTGTGCATTGTAAATTATTAGTAAATAGAACAAATAACAATATTTACTGTATACTACATATAAGCAAACACTACATCTCTTTCTTATCAAGATTTTTTTCTTTTTTTCATTATACGAGGGTGGATTGAAAAGTACTCGGCCTAACCAAGAAAATAAACAAATACTAAATCAGTTATATTTTTATTTTTCTACATAATCACCATCAAGTTCAATACACTTTTGCCACCTCCCCTTCCAAGCATTTAGACCGTTGAAAAAAAATGATTCTTCCTTAAAGTCAAAATATGCGTCTACAGCTGCTTTGACCTCGTCGTTTGTCGAAAATCTTTGACCTCCCAAGTGCTTTTTTAGGTTAGGGAACAGAAAGAAGTCTGATGGTGCCAGATCAGGTGAATACGGCGTATGCGGTAACAGTTCAAAGCCACAGTTGTGAATTTCAGCCATTGACTGTACTGACGTGTGAACACGGGCGTTATCTTGATGAAACAGGACTTTTCTTCTGAGCATTCCTCGACGTTTATTCTTTTATTTCCTCTCGTAAACGACATAGTAAGGTGCAGTAGTAATCAGAGTTTATATTCTGACGCCTTTCAAGATAATCAATCATAATCACACCTTTCGAGTCTCAGAATACTGAAGCCATCACCTTATTTGCCGACAAAATCGACTTAGCCTTTTTAGGGGGTGGTGAACCAGGTCTTCTCCACTGTTTTGATTGTTGTTTTGTTTCCGGTGTACAGTAATAATGTTTCGTCCATAGTAACAAAACGATTCAAAAAATCATCTGCATCGGCTTCAAATAACTCCAAACAGTCGCGTGAAATAGTCAATCGCGTCCTTTTTTGTTCAACTGAAAGCAGTCGCGGAACCCACCTCGCAGACACCTTGTGGAAACCCAACTCGTTGACAATGATGTTTTGAGTTCGTTCATAAGAGATGCCTATAATCTCGGCTATCTCTCTAATTTTTAATCTGCGGTCTCCCATTATTAAATCAAGTACTTTTTTAATATTTTCGTCAGTAGTTGACGTCGAAGGCCTTCCAGAGCGGGGTTCATCTTTCACACTCTCTCTACCACGCTTAAATTCTGCTATCCATTTTTTGACGGATGAATATGACAGAGCACAATCGCCTAATGTACTGACCATGTCATCATGGATGGCTTTTGATGATAGCCCCTTCTTATGGAGGTACTTAATGACGGCACGCTGCTCGATTTGCTCCATTCGCGGAAATTATGTCCGATTACTTTGTTAATAAATTTATAAAATCACAACTAATTATCGCACACGTTTCGAACTTCACACAATGAACTAGTCTGAACTAAACTAAATAATGTGGGTAGATTTGATTTTTAGAATTGAATGGATCTGTGTTAGGCCGAGTACTTTTCAATCCACCCTCGTAACTCATAACAATCACAAAGCAGCTTGTATTGTCTGTATTAATTATTTTCCACTGCTTTTACGTAAACCTTATCTCCCTGTATTATATCTGAGCGAGTTGCTCTGCGTTTCCTATATACATACTCTTTTCCTTTTTCTTTTTTGTATTTTGTCTCTATCCCTGATATCTGAATCTAAATGATTGTCTGTAATTTATTTCACCTATTGATGGAATTTTATCCCTACTTTTTCGGTGAAAAAACAGTTCAGACGTTAACTTCCCGGTAACTGTAAGGAGGGGTGCTGTTATACATTAGAAGATACTACCATAAACATTTCTTTTAAATCCTTCCTCTCGATCTGGTTGATACGAAGACGTTTCAAAATATCTCTGTTTTGTCTTTCAACTTCGCCGATCATTTGAGGCCAATATAGTACAGTACTAAATAACTTAATGTTACATTCTTTGCAGAAGGATCGAAACTCTTCACTCACGAACTGCTTGCCATTGTCTGCGGTGATAGAAATAGGATAACCAAGTCTACTGAACATTTCTTTTACCATTTTAATAATCTTGTGATGTTTTTGTAATTGTTTACTTCTTTGTATCGACTATAGTAGTCGACCACTACTAACAGATACTCGTTACTTGGCAATGGTTCCATTAGATCCATTGTGACATCTATCCATGGAGCTGCAGGCAACTCTCGTCTCTTCATTGGTGCAATTGGGTTTGGCAAACCCACTAACGTACAACCTTTACAAGCCTTTACCAATTGTTCTACGTCTTTATCGATACGGGGCCACCATACCTTTGATCTCCAGCGTCCCTTCATCGCTACGATACCTGGATGACCCTCGTATGCAGCATCTAATACACTCTTGCAGAGTTGCTGTGGTATTACAATTTTATTTCTATGAAGTAGAATGCTATCATGGGAACACAACTCGTTTTCAAAAAATTTGTAACTCTTAATCGAATCGTCCCAGTCATTCTGATAGACACCTTTTTTCACTTTGTAAATCTCTTGTTCTTTTTCTGAATATGCTACAATGGAACTCATTGGTATAGCAACTGGTCTAGAATTTTCCACCATTTGGTACACATGCTCGTCTTTTCCTTTTGGTGGGTTATCAGGATAGTTACATAATCGTGACAAGGGATCAGCTATATTTGTTTTTCCTGGCTTGTATATAACCTTGAATGAATAAGACTGTAGCCTCAGTATCCATCGTTCAATCCTCGCACATGGTTTTGACTTAGACCCGAACAATATCTCTAGCGGCTTGTAGTCAGTGACTAAATCAAAAGGCTTTCCAAATAAAAATATTAAAATGTTCGACACCCCAAACTAATGCTAGTGCCTTTTTTTCCGTTTGGCTATACCTGCGCTCGCAGTCTGTCAAAGCTCGATTACCATAGGCAATAATTCTAGGGCCATTCGTATCATTTTGTACAAGGACAGCACCAAGTCCGACAGGGCTAGCATCTGCTATCACCTGTCTTGCATCTCTAACGTCATAATACCCTAAAATCTGTATTTCCGTGAGCATCCGTTTGAGTTTTTGGAATGCTTTATCTTGTTCTCCAGACCATTGTTTTCCCAAGCTCTCCCTTTTGCTCATCTTCTGTCTTAACAGGTGCTTCAGAAGTTCTGTCATGGCGGCCAAGTTAGGTATCCTTTTGTTTATGTAGTATGGTCTTTGGGACCCTAAAGTTCATAATGCTCTCAACGTACTTGTTGAAGGGTTTACTCCTTCATGTGTAAGCCTGTGTCCCAGAAAATTCACATCCTGCGTTTTATATATGCATTTATTGCTATTCAGCACGGCGTTGTTTTTACTAAGTACCTGTAGAACTTTCTTTAGTCATGCGTCATGTTCTTCTTCACTGTTCCCGAATACCAGGATATCATCAATAAAATTGACGACCCCTTCACAGTTTATCAGCATCCTTTCAATGATCTTCTGAAAAATCTCGGAAGCGCAGGTAATTCCAAGCATTATTCTTTTATATCTATATAATCTTTTGGGGGTTATAAAAGTTGTTATGTGTCTGGATTCAGAGTGAATTTCCACTTGATGGAAGGCATTTTTTTATGTCTTAATTTGTTAAAATATTTAGCTTTCTTCATTTTAGGCAAAAATGGTCCATAGTAGGCAGGGGGTGGTTTTCTTGCAATATAACCGCGTTCGGACATCTCATATCTACGCACAAACGTAAATCACCATTTTCTTTCATGATTGGAACATTGGTGAAACCCATTTAGACGGGCCTTGCACTTCTTCAATTATATCACTCTTTAGTGATTCCTTAATTTTGATTGCAACCTTCTCTTTAAAGGGGATCGGCTTGCTTTTACTCTCCACTTGATTTATCCCGATACCAAGTTTTAAGACACCAAGTCGGACTGCTGTGTTCTTACCAAACAGGTTTCTAGTACCCCCCGAAATCACGTCAATGGTTGTATGTTCCTTTCGTCCATCGACTTCGAGTATAGTTTCAAATGAACCCTCTATTGCCAAAGGAGAGTTACTACCATATGCTAATAATGTCTTGTCTGGTCTTTACATTTGATTAAAAGCATATACTTTTTTGCTTTTTAACTCTTCCCACGTTTAGTAAGATATAAGGTCCCGCAATTTCGAATTACACTTTTCCACTATTTGATCTATGAAATGATCATCTTGCTTTTCGAATGCACACTTTTCGGCTTGTTGACGCAATCTTAAAACTTCTCAAATGTCTCTCCTTTTTTCTGTTTTAGCAATCGAAAAACATGCCGCTCATAAACTTTGCTCCGTTTAGGTTGAAAATACTCGTAGAGTTTTTTTTTTTATGGCTACTTAAAATACATCAACGGTTTCTTTTATCCCAGAGCCACCAAAATGCAATAGCGTAGCTCGTTTCTCGAGTGCTGATATAACTTCAGCTACGTCCAGATAGATTAGTAGAGACCTTTTCCATTTTCCACACCTTATAGCCATAGATGTGCTATCACATTAAAGCTGATAACGGTATCATTATTATTATTATTTTGGCAAACTGAAACAGTTACTTATATTTTTTTTTCCAATTTAATGCTGGTATTTTAATACCCAAAGTCCAATTTAATGGTAGTTACTTAGTACACAAAGTCCAATTTAATGGTAGTAACTTAGAACCCAAAGTCCAATTTAATGGTGGTACCTACCTAAGTACCCAAGCTCCAATTTAATGGTGGTACCTACCTTAGTACCCAAGCCCCAATTTAATGGTGGTGTCTTAGTACCGAACTCAATTTAATGATGGTATCTTAGTACCCACCTCAATTTAATGATGGTATCTTAGTACCCAACTCAATTTAATGATGGTATCTTAGTACCCAACTCAATTTAATGATGGTATCTTAGTACCCAACTCAATTTAATGATGGTATCTTAGTACCCAACTCAATTTAATGATGGTATCTTAGTACCCAACTCAATTTAATGATGGTATCTAAGTACCCAACTCAATTTAATGATGGGATCTTAGTACCCAACTCAATTTAATGATTGGTATCTTGGTACCCAAACTCAGTTTCATGATAATAATATGTTCCATAACACTCGCCCTTCTCTTTCGGTTTATTTGTTATACCGACTACTTCCATCGCTGTGCCATTTAGGCTTTGGGTAAATTCAATACCTATATTGCGCATTTACCATTATTGATAACTTAGACAGCAATACCCTCGAGAAACGCCGTGATATAAGATATCAAATGTTGTTGTACAAATTGCTTCATAATATCATCGACTCCTACTTTTAGGCAAGGTGAATCTTGCGTGTCACAGGTTAGGTGCACGAAATAAACCACTTTTTGCATTACCTAAAATTAAAACAAAAATGCCTCAAATAATTTTGTATCTCGTACATGCAAAAAGTTTAACTTAAAATATTGTAAATATTAGATATTTTTCACCTTGAATATGATAGTTACAAAGAAAATATTGTAAAACTTAATATATTATAATTGGTAGTATCACTTTGAGTTGTATATATAATGTTACTTTTAATTACTTACTACTTAATGTTTTAATTTATGAATACCATTTAGCTTGTTTTATTCTTTTATATTTTTAATTTTATACAACATAATATTGTGGTTTGCTTTTATTATGTATTAGATATCTGTGGAAACTTCATTGGTTTTTAGGATTACTTTTATATGTTTTATTATGTAATTTATTATTGCACTGTATGTTTCCCTTAAAAAGCAAATAAATAAATAAATAAACAGTATTACTAGTTACCTACTTTGCAATGTACAGAAGTCGTGAAGTGTCCACGATTTTTTGTAAGACATATATGCCATGAAAGCAGTAAAATAGTATTTTCATTAAAGGCGATAAATCACACCTACATGTTAAATGCCACTAAAATTTAGCTAACGACATTGTATTTCGGTTCGAATCGAGAGGAGTTTTTAGTAACATCTACTATTTTTCCATCAAAAATCTTTTTATATAAAAGTTGTGCTAATAGACATATGTTAAAATAAATCATTATTTTATCATTGCTACATAAAGAAAATAAATTTTAGCACACCATAAGCGTGGTCAAATGCGAACATATATTTTATATAAATTATTAAAATGATCAGAACAGGGTTAAAAACAATAAATCATAATTCATAATCCACAGTTTTTTTTCCGCGGGTACTCTAGGAATTAATTTACAATTGCAATACTAATAGTTGCACATTGCTAACCTATTTTTGATTATATCTTTATACTAAATAGGTACTTATCTTTTTCCTCGTCGCCACTTGTAATGTCTGCTATCTTCTCTAACCACTGTAGTGTAACACAGGCTCGGCACGCACTTTAACTAACAACACGTCCACTCTGGCCTGAGGCTCTCGTGTAACTGACGCGGTGCGCTCGAGACAGTGACTTATATATAAATGTATGTTTGTGTATTTGTGCATGGTAAATTATTAGTAAATAGAACAAATAACAATATTTACTGTATACTACATATAAGCAAACACTACAAGTAGTATGTATGACTGGGCCGGCTCAACCAGGGAAGAACCACGCTCTCACAAAATACCAGTGAAAAATTACAGCTCAGCGCTTTTGTGTTTCGTATGGCGAGTGTAGGGAACTGGAGACCCATTTTACTTTAAACGGGGCATTTCATCTTAGTCCTTACGGGTGACAACGCGTCTGCATTTTGATTCGTAATCGAGGATAGATGTAGATATCTATGGGATACAGCATCCATTTACCATCAGGTGGACTATGTGCACGTTTGTCACCCTATCCTATAAAAAAACCTGAGCTACCATGGCTCTAGCCATCAGCTAGCCATGTTCTTTTTTTTTCTTTATCCGCCCGTTAATGTCCAATGCTGGATATGAGCCCCTCTCGTTGCAGGGAGGTCAAAATGTCGATCGGTGGATCGGTGGTCAAAATGTCGATAGGTGTGAATTTAACCATAAGAATCTAATATACACATTATACATATAAATAAATTTGAAGTGTCTTTCTGTTATATCAAAATAACTGACTTATCTCGGCTTGGGAGAATATTTGCACGGCATTAAAATCTGAATAACAATTTGTAAAATTTTTGTCTGTTTGGGCTAATTTTTCATGTCTGACCCGATGGTGATGAAACTTTACGAACAGATAGAGAACAATGCCAGGAGTAATCTAAGTTATATTATATTTTAAAAAATTATTTAAAAATGCGGGATATCATCGGAATAGTGTCGGATAAGACTTGCTCTTGGATCGTCACTCACACTTGCGTGTGATGTAAGGAACTTCGTTCTAAAAATAAACAACAATGATAATACAACCACGATATTACAAATCAAACTAAGTTCATATTTGTTTACAACATGCCAGATGCAAGTTTGAATTTGGATGTAACCAGTGACGTCACCCGCGGCGCCTTATATTATAAGTGAATTAGTGAACTGACATCTATCCAGCGCTCTCCGAATATACACGGTGCACCGAGTTGACTCAGTAACTCGAGTGCAAGCGGACTCGAGTAAAATTTATTTTCACTCGAGTTACACAAATTAACTCGATTGAATCGAGTGAAAACAGAGTTCGAATTGCATCATTATAGTAAGAATAAAGTCTGTGGTTATATACATGCGTAAGCATCATATTAGTATGTGTTATATACTTTAAAAGAATTTCTGGTAGCAAAATTAGATAATAAAAATAAGAAAAAAGTTTATACTTGTTTGTTTACAGAACAATAAAATAAATATCGTCTCGTCGATGCACAAGTGTTTAAAATAATTTGGATAATATCATGCAGATTAGCTAAATGTTACTGTTCCACACATAGTCATTAGACTTAGAGTGATAGTGTTATTCGAAATTACGTTCAAAATTGGAGCAACAACCATAGATAAATATATATGTAGCAACAACACAATGAATGTGTGCATTAGCAGCCTGTAATTACGTTTCCCTACACGCATACAAGCAAATGAGTAATGTTTGCAAGTAAATGACATTTCCCTCAAAAAAAGGGGAAAGTGTAATAGTAGAAATAGTCATAAAATTAATATTAGGTTGCGTTTAGAATTGTTTATTAATTATTCGCAAAGAGAGAGATGTTACATTATTTGTTTTTGTGAACTAATACAATATTTAAATTATTTACGAGGGTGACACTGAAAATCAAAAACTAAACAAACTAGCAAGTTAATAGGGACTATATATTTAATAGGACACTATTTTGAAAAGATATAATAAAACATTATATCTTTTCAAAATAATGTCCATTTACATCAATACATTGCAGCATCCGATGGAACTACTGGGAAAACCACATTGCCCACTCATCCTTAGGGGTCTCTTCGATGGCATTTTGAAACGCAGCCACTGCTTCCTCAGCGTCTATAAAACGTCTTCCTCGAAGTTTTTCTTTTAGTTTTGGAAATAAATGAAAATCGCAAGGTGCAAGGTCGGGGTTATAGGGCGGGTGATACAGTAATTCCACGTCTGACGTCGCCAAGTAGTCGATAGTTTGCTTGACGGCGTGTGACAAGGCGTTGTCGTGGTGAAGGAAGATCCTACTGCGAGGTCGTTTCTCCCGAACTTTTTCCAAGACAAGTGGCAAACAATTGTTAGTATACAACTCTGCAGTAACTGTTTTTCGATCCTCTAAAACAAAAACAACCGAACCTTTTTTTAATGTAAGATTATGGTAACAAACGAGCACACAGTCCACCTGATGGTAAGTGGTTGCTGTGGCCCATAGACATCTACATCTACCCTAAAACCTCCACCGAAGATTCCTAGCACCCTCTGACCCGCAGTTACCATGGTCGCCACCGTAGCCAGGAATAGCGGGGCTGCCGGAGACTGGGGGTCGTCTTCTTATAACTCTCGTCATGGGGGGGTATATTGGCATAGTTGCCTCGCTTGGCGAGTGGGTTGCCAAACGCAGTTTATTTTATTGTAATTTGCTGTTATCAGAAGATGCTGCCCATCAATGCTGATCAAGATATATTTTGATTGCAGCCATAGCAGCGATCAAAATATATCTTTTAAGTCGCAGTGATACTGGTATTTTTAGACCTCCATAGCTGCTCGCAAAAAATAAGTGGAATCAGGTCTGCGCATAAATTTAATTAAATTAATTAATTTACTTATTAATAGTACCCACCCTGCCGAAGCTGGTTAATATAAAAATGTTAATTCATGGACCATTACAATCATAACATAAAACCAAAGTGTACTTTATACAAGGTAATAATGTGAGAGAGAAAGTGAAAGGGCTCTGACTCTTTCTCTCTTGCAGAGAATCTAAACATTGTTAATCTACTTACACCCGTATAAGGAACTTATTAGCAGTTACAAACAAAACATTGAAATCTACAGCTATAGATATAAAAAGCTTCTGTAATCTTTACTGAAATTTGTATCGTATAACTTACTTAGTAGACTTAACATGCTATATTTAAATAAGGCCCTATCCGGAGGACGCATCCTTGTGAATTGCAACAGATAAAAAACATTAATGTCAAAAATAGACCGTATCCATAGCAACCCCCTACTGCTCTCGCTTCATTAGTTGTTTACGTTACCGTGACTTTGATAATCTCGTCATATCCATACATTGTTATATAATAATATATACTAGAAGCTCATTTCTCTGCCGATCGTCAGATAAGTAAAGTAAATATGTTCTGGGGAATGAGTCCTGCGCTAGATTTGCAAGAGGAATACCTTAAGGATGGCGATAAAAGTTCTTACGAGCTCAATTTTTTGGTTATCGGTGGTTGTGACGCACGGCACCTTATCAAGACTCTGGCCCAAGCTTCCCGTCATACGAGACGCTACATGAATTTATTTGTGATCGATGGATGTCCAGAACTCATCGCCAGACAAGTACTCCTTATGTCTTTGGCCTTGGAACGTACAACAAGATGCGGGCTACTCGAAAAGACCAGGCGACTGCTGGAAGTGTACGGAAACCTCCTTTTAAGACCAACTACATCCAGATACGTCATAGCCAAAGCGCGGCAACTAATCGCAATGATTACGAACACTGAATATATGAGCTGTCTTCTCCCATGTATATCGGTAGACCAGATGAAATACCGTGAACGTGATTACATGGAGAATCTCTTCAACTTCTGGACGACAGGCAACACAAATCAGTTTAACGCTTGTGAATTGTGGGAGCACCGTGTTAGAAACAGCCTTGGATTAAGATACGACACTAGAGCAGGCGTTTATGATTGGGACTATCACATGCGTCTGAAAGAAATAGCCGGCCAGATCTGTTACCAAGAGTATAAGCATTTTCGTGAGCATGGTGTGGCGTTCACTTGGCTTGAAACTGAGGTGAGTCGTCCTAACGTGACGTTCTCAGCTGGAGTCTACAAGTGTGGGGAGAGATATCTGCATCGAGGCTACCTTGGGGATATTATCACGTCGCCTTATATAGCGTATGGTCTAGACTGTGAGGATAAAGACATGCTGCAGTCATCTCATGGAGTAAATTTTAAAAGAGCGACTGATATTTCGGAGCGAAATGTCATGCGTATGCTTTACGAGCTTGAGAACCGTCAGAAGTTCGACGTTAATATGTTTAATTTGGACAATGACAAGAATTTAGGAATGGTAGTGATGAGCGAGCTTGACGCAAGGATCTCTGAACGTGGACCAGAGGCGCCATTAGTTTTGCGGGAAGACAGAGATACGTATATTAACGTGGATTACGGGAAGGTTCATTTTCTATCAGTGTCTGCATTGGAACAATACCCTCACAAGCCACCATTTCAGGGCCTCTTCCATGGTATTTTTGTTGGACAGAATATGCTTCCACGGATTAAGCCGAGCGTTTGGTCGATGGCACGGGATGATGCCATCATACTTATGGAGTCTAGAAAGTACTTGGTGGAGCTAAAAAAAGACGATGTCAAGGCTTTCGGTGATCAGATACAGCAAACAGCTGCTACGGCCCAGTGCGAAAAGAAATGTTCCTTTGATCCAGAAAAAGATGACTTTGCCAAGTTTTTGATGAGAAGAAAAAGTGAAAGTATTGATATTTCTAATTAAAAAATTATGTACCGTGTCGTGTACCACATGTCACAGATGTGATAGGAATAAAAATAAAAAGAACATTATGGTTTATTAGAGAAAATAACAACGGTACATGTACATATCAAACATTATAATAAACCGATAAATTATTTTTAAACCTCCTTTAAATAAATATAACATATCTTAATATATATTTTAATTACAATAAATATAAGAAAACATTATTACGTTTTGAAATATCATTACATATATACCTACATTTCGTTTGTTGTAAGTGTATGTATACATCATGTATACATAAGTGTATGTCATCATGTATACATACACTTACAACAAACGAAACCAAGTGATAACTTTGTCCATATTAACTCACATCTGATGTCTTTATAAAGTATTCACTACCTACGTGAATACTTATCTTTATTCTACTTATCTTTAAATGCAGTCTATAAAAATAATAATCTTTGGAGTTCCAGAGAAGTTTAGACTAAACGGAGAATGATTTAATAAGGAAAATGATGAATTGATATGGGACATAATAGAATGTCTCGTTACCATTAAAAAGATCTCCGTTTCTTGGAACAATATACTGCAACGTAGCTCTTCCTCGCAGAAAACCTCGTTGCCGTTATGTGTCATTGTTTTCCTTGTATGGTTCACTAGGTGAGCGGACGTTTGTTGCCTAGAGACATCCTTTTTTTATTAAAAAAAAAGTTAACGTCGAAGGCAACACTCTCTTACATATTTTTGTCTCCAATTAGCAGTGCGTGCACTGCTTTGTATAATTACACACTGAGGCATTCCATCTTAGGTGACAACGCAGCTGTTGCCTTCTATATTTCAAGTTGGCTTTAGGTGTTCATTGGTCGCGATAGACACTTATCATTAAGTAGCCTGTAAGATCTTTTGCCATTTTAGTTTAGCAAAACACCAACGTAACAATACACTCATAATTTTTTGGAATATTGACAGCAGCTTTGTACCTGTGTTGGCCAGCGTGGTATGGGCAAACCTTTTAATATACCATATTTGGCACATTCTTGTTATGACCAGACCAAGCAGTCAATACGTAATTTAAAATTAAACATTTTGTATAACCAACTTCAATATAAATTATTAAGAATAACTGAAAAACTATTGATCAATACTTTATAAAATCTATATGGGACCACATGTGGAGCACCAGCTTTAAAATAAAAAAGAATCATCGAAATACGTTCACCCAGTAAAAGTTGTGAGGTAACACACATAAAAAAACAGTCGAATTGAGTACCGGCTCCTTTTTGAAGTCGGTAGAAAAGGCAAACAAAATGAGATGAAAACAAGCATATAAAGTAACTGAAAGTAAAAGGTTACTGTGGAACTCCCTTTCCAGCCTGGAGGTGTATAATATAATGCAGTGCTTTACGAAAACTTCGCTAGCGTGATTTAAACCTTTCAATCCTTAATCGATGATGTAAGGCAGTGATAGTGCCACATCGTAATTTGGCGCTAGTATGCTGTAAAGATAAGGTATTCCGTGGTTGAGCTAGATAGGTGGGACTTCTTTTCTTGCCTGGGACTCTCTCTGGTTGGGTACCACACTCTTACCTGTCGCGAAAGCAGGCTGTACATTGCTGCGTTCTGGTTTTAACGGTGAAGAGAGTCCGTATAACTACAGACTGGGAGGCTTTTCATCTTATTGCTCAGAAATTATAACGCATCTTTAGCTTTCTTTGTTTGAAGATAGCTGCAGATACCCATGAACTTCAGTAACCGCTTACCCTCAGTTGGACAGTAAGTTCGTTTTTCAACTTCACCGCAACTTAGATCAAAGGCCACAGCATTCAAATACCATCAGGTGAGCTGTGAGCTTGTTTGTCACTCTTATTTAAAAATACTTGTTTACCGGTCACAATCACTATTAAAAAGGTGATGATGTCCTCTCGGCAGATTTCAAACACGGTAACAACTTCCTGTGTCGTCGAAATCTTAAAAACTCTTAAAAAAATGTTACTCCCACATCAGGACTTTCTCCCGTATCGCTGAGGCAGTTAACATACATAAATTTCACAAAGACAAACATCCAGAGCTGGAACAATTATATATATATATATATATAATTGTTCCAGCTCTATATATATATATATATAAATACTTGTTACGTGCAGGTTTGAACCCTTGGCCCTCAGTGCTGCAACTCATTACTAAGCCACTGCGCCACGGAGCTGTCAAAATCGGACCACTTTTAATCAAACACATGATATAATATTACGGTTGCAGGTGTTCGCGTTAATATACCACATAAACTGTACTGACCTGATTGGTGGCGCTGGAGTTGAAATAAGACTGTAAATACTTTTACACATGATAGAGTCATGCTGCAGCTATATTAGTAGTACACTTGTAGCACGAATGGGTCGGCTCGACCGGGGAAGGACCACGCTCTCACAGAATACCAGCGTAAAACGGCAGCTTGACACTGCTGTGTTACGTGTGGTGAGTGTAGAGAACCGGCGACCCTTTTTACTGAAAAGGGGGCATTCCATCTTAGTCCTCACGGGTGACAACGCATCTGCATTTTGATTCGCAAACGAGGATAGATGTAGATGTCTATGGGCTACAGCAACGACTTACCATCAGGTGGACTGTGTGCTCGTTTGTCACCCTATCCTATAAAAAAATTATTTATAGTGCAACCTACCGCAAAAGGGCACGACAACATCTGTTGGACAAGCAGGCTTATTCGCTTTTACTTAGTTTACATAAAAAAATAGTCACCTTATAATACATTGCTTCATATGTTTTAGCTTATAAATAATAGCTCTAAACATAGATAACTTATAAAGCAAACTAAGCAATCTCCAATTTTTATTTTTATAGAATATGAATGACAAGCGAGTACACGTTCCGCCTGATGGTATGTGAACACATTTGTTGTCAGCTCTGAGTGCTAATATGGAATGCCTCGGGAGGGTTCTCCGGTTCTATACACTCACCATGCGAAACTATTTTACGCTGGTATTCTGTGAGAACATGGTCCTCCCCCGGTAGAGCTGACCGATTCGTGCTATAACCATAATATAGCAGCATGACTCTGCCACGTATAAAAACTCATACTACAAAGAAATCATCATCATCATCATCATCATTACAGCCTTTCATAAGTCCACTGCTGAACATAGGCCTCCCCCAAGGAATGCCACAAAGCACGGTAATGAGCCACCTGCATCCATCGACTTCCTGCATGTCTTACAAGGTAGTCACTCCATCTAGTGGGGGGTCGCCCTACACTTCGCCTACCGATACGAGGCTGTCACTCGAGAACCTTTCTTTCCCATCGGCTGTCGGTTCTTCGAGCTATATGGCCGGCCCACTGCCATTTCAGCTTACTAATCCGTTGGGTAATATCGGTTACTCTGGTTCTACTGCGGATATCCTCATTTCTAAGTTTATCACGCAGAGAAACCCCGAGCATTGCCCTATCCATAGCTCGCTGAGCGACCTAGAGCTTCGTCATACGGCCAGCAGTGAAGGATCACGTCTCAGATCCGTAAGTCATCACTGGCTACAAAGAAATGTTAAAATAAATTGATTATAATTTTGATGTCAAAAAAGTTAGTGAACAGGCCTGCAACTAGTACCTTGTGCAATCGTAGTTAGGTTAGATAAAGTATCAGAGACACGGAGGCAACACGTCCAGACCCGAAATCTACAATATCATTGGGACATTTGGCTGAGGAAATAAGACACAACATAAAATTTGTGTTCATCTATTTTCTTTCATTAATAATATGTTACATTCATTTAGTAAATCATATATTAAATATATTTACAAGGACCAAATTAAAACGGAAATTTACCACAACGTGTTAACGTTTTTTTTTTCTTCGTTTAAAATTCGTATTTTATATTACATTATATCGCTTAACATTAATATTTCTAATTTAGTTAATTCGGCGTGTTCGGTGATCGCGGATGCTCGTAGCCGATACAATTTTTTTATTTGAGCAACACTTCTATCGTATCCAACCCGAAAGATTTAAACACTCCATTGATCCTATAATATAGTCTTTGGTAAACAAAACAAATCACTGAAGTTACCACATTAGTGCATTTTTCTTAATACTCAGTAACAATTTTACTTATAACGAAAACTGAACTCCGTGTTTTTTTTTTATTTCTGTTTAACAAAACAAGTAATAACAATATACATATTATATCTAACTATTTAAAGTATATTATATATACAGGTTCTCGATACAAATGTATTTTTAATAGAGTCTAAATTATTACATTTACAATGTAAATAATTTTACCTTAACGATAAATAAAATAATATTTAATAACAAGTGTTATTTAAATTACAAAGTAAATTTAATATTTAAATGTCAGAATACACTCCATAAAATTTAGGAAAATTAAATTATGTTAATATCTCAATAAAATTGTATGCAAATGTACCTTTAACTAATTGTCGAATAAATGTGATCTACATATAGATTAGTACTGCCATGTGTAGGTGACGTAAAATGAACATCCCCACGTATTGTCTCGTGGGTGTCGTAAGAGGCGACGATGGACAAAGTCATAAAGATAATCATGGCTTTCGACAGATGGTGGTATTACCATCACAATATATATTAAATGTAAAATACCCAGTCTGGAAACGGGGAACAGCAGTGAGGATGCAAAACGACTGGTACAAGATTGGCTATTATTGTACTACCCACAATAGCCCCCTATTGTGGGTAGTACAATGTGGACGAGATTCATGTCCAGCAGTTAACTGATAAAAATAATGAAAGACTAATAGGTTACAATAATTTATGATAACAACTTTTGAAACTATAACTTAAGTATGCTATTTTTAAATATTCTTTCATATTAAAAAAAAATACATAAAGTTTCTAAATTATTCACAAAAAGCGTCCATTTTATATTAAAAAAAGGCTAATACAATTATATAAATAAATATGTTGAATAATATAGTATGCCGAACCATTTTTTAAATTGAAAGAACACGCAAGTTCCGT